GTCTTCGTTGCTAGGCGACGGCCACGCATGCGCAAAGGAGACCCATGTGGAACGTACTGCAAACATAGAGTTTCCCAAAATTAACTAGAGGGCACTCTGGCGCTGCGATCGTTACGGCAAACAGGGAGCTTTCGACTCTGGGTAAAACGATGAAGTTCAAGGTGGTCAACCTGAACCGAAACCTGGTCCATGCAGGCCGCAACAGGGCGTTTGTGTCTGACGGCATACACTTCAGTAACCGTCTAGCTGAGCATGTAGGGCACCGATTGGCAGCCCGCGCGGTGGCTTTTTTGCGGCGAGGCCAAACGTTCAAGAAGAAGGTGGACTGAGTGGAGGGGGTGGTGAAATGCAGAAAGGAGGGGGCACTGATGCACGGCGGCGGAAACACAAAGGAAAGAAAAGGAAAATAAACCGGGGGATTAAAATTAGTTATATAAACATGCAAGGCGGCCGCAAGCAGGAAAAATGGATTGAGATACAAACCCAACTCGAGAAAGAAGAAACTGACGTGTACGCCCTCACCGAAACCCACCTGAGAGATATGGAGGAGCCACCAGTGATGGATGATTACGTATGGGTGGGGTGCAACAGGGCAGCGGGAGAAAGGGAAGGTGGAGGCGTGGGCATGTTGATTAGGCGAGGAGGGAATTGGCAGAGGGAAAATCAGGGCTGTAAGGAGCACTTATGGGTTAGTGGAACAGTGGGGGGAAAAAGACACGGTTGGGAGTGGCCTATCTGTGGACAGGGAATGACGCCAGAGAACAAAATAAAGAGTGGGTGGACTGCCTCAGGAAGGACATTAAAAAATTTAAAGAATTTGGCGAGGTGATATTAGTAGAAGATCTAAATGCCCACATTGAGGATCTAGATGGATATACAGACTATAACGGTGCAATGGTTATCGATATGTGTGAAGAACAGCAACTGGTAATAGTTAACCGGGAACATAAATGCGACGGGCAGATAACGTGGCAAAGCGGCAGTAGACAGTCTTGCATAGACTACGGCCTGGTCTCAGAGCGAGCGGTTGAACCAAATGACGATAGATGAAGAAGGAGAAAACAGTCTGGTCAGCGACCACAGGCGTATAATCCTGAAATTTGACAGTGGGGGGGGCTAGGAAGAAAACACAGGAGGTTGGGCTCCTGAAAGTAAGCGAAAAGCAGATAGCAGACATCGTCAATAGCATCGAAAGAGAATTAGAAGCACAGCCAACAAAGGTGTGGGAATATGACGAGGTTGTTAGCTGTATACAAAAGGAAATAAACAAAGTAAGGAAAAAACACCGCTGGAGAGGTAAACGAAAACCACGAAGCTGGTGGGACAAGGAAATTAAACTGGCTATTGAAGAGCGACGACGGGCCTCTAGACTGCACAGAAAAGCAAAGCAAATGGGATATCAGGATGATGAGGTGCAGTTACGGTGGAGCCGGTACCGAAAAAAAAAACTTGAGGTGCAGAAACTAGTACAAGCGAAGATTAAAGCTGCGAGTGGGAAATGGGTATCAGACATGCGTAAGAAAGCTAAGAGCGCCCCCCGAAAATTCTGGAACCATTTGAAAGCATTGGGAACGACGACTAAAGAGATGCAGACTCAGATACAGGACGGGGATGGTAACGTTCTCCTGGGGGACAGCGCATTAGAATACCTACATGGAGTCATAGGAAATACTTTCGGCCAAGCACGCGAGAGGGCGGCTAACTGGGCACAGGTGGCAAATAAAAGAGTGGCAGATGAAAAATTTAATATCGAATTTTTGGACTGGAAAAAGGCAGAACACAGTGTTCCCAAAAGTACGGCAACAGGACCGGATGGAATCCCGATGGAGATTATCAACCATTTGGGACCAGCGGGACAGGCGCACTTGTATGGAGCCATCGAGCGCGCTATAAAATCCAAGAGGATTCCTGCGCACTGGCGCGAAAGTAGAATGAGTTTGATCTACAAAGGCAAGGGAGAAAGGAACAAGGCGAGCTCTTACAGGCCGATTACAGTCACGTCAGTGCTCTATAGATTAGCTATACAAGCCATCAAATCCGAGTTGTTGAAGTGGGTTGAAAGTAACGGTATTTTAGGGGAACTGCAAAATGGATTTAGGCCGGGTCGACGCTTGGAAGACAATCTTTTCGTCATAACCCAGACCATCGAAATTTCGGCAGCACAGGGCAGACCAACATGGCTACTGTTTCTGGACATAAAGGGTGCCTATGACAACGTGGACAGGGGATTGCTGTGGAATATACTGGAAGAGGAGGGGATTGGGTCGGCATTTGTAGGGCTGCTAAGGGCAATATATGAGGATAACAAGGCACACATTACATGGGAAGGGCGTACATACACAGAGCCCGTGTACATTCGAAGAGGTTTAAAACAGGGGTGCCCTCTTTCGCCATTGCTGTTCACACTGTACATTAGAGGAATGGAAAGACGACTAGAGGGGAGTGGATTGGGCTTTGATTTGTCACACCGAAGCAATGGAGTGTTAGTGGAGCAACGGATTCCGGGATTGATGTACGCAGACGATATAGTGCTGCTGGCGGATAATGCGGAAGAACTTCAAAAACTGGCTGACATTTGTGGTGATGAGGCAACGTACCTAGGCCTACATTTTGACCCACAGAAATCTGGAGTCATGGTGTTCAACGAGGAAGCTCATGTAGCACCAATAAGGATACAAAAGGAAGACATACCATTAGTAAATAAGTACAAATACTTGGGGATCTGGCTTAATGAAGGAAAAAGCTACCTGAATGCTCATGAAGAACACCTCAAACTGAAAGGGAGACGAAATGCAGCAGTAATGAAACATAGAGCACTTTGGAAACACAATAAGTACGAGGTAGTACGAGGCATCTGGAAAGGGGTAATGGTGCCGGCGCTCACGTTCTCTAATGCCGTATTATGCTTAAAGTCAGATATCCTGTCGGGGCTGGAGGTTAACCAAAAGGCAGTCGGCAGGTTTGCTCTGGGAGCTCACAGTAAGACTACAAACGAGGCTGCACAGGGCGATATGGGTTGGGCTTCATTTGAGGCGAGGGAAGCACAAAGTAAAATACGGTTTGAGGAGCGACTTAGACATTTAGATGAGAAGAACTGGGCAGCCAGAGTGCACAGATACCTGTACCTGAAAAGTGTGGACACCCAATGGCGGAAGAGGACGCGAAAGCTGGCGACTAAATATAACTTGACCGCGGCAAATAAGCAAAGGGGGCCAGTAAAAAAGCAAGTGAGGGAAACAGAGACGCTCATGTGGAAAGAGAGGATGGAAAAGAAGGGATCGCTGGGAATCTACAAGGCAAGCAAACAAGAGATCCGGAAAGAGAACTTTTATGACAACAATAAAGGTAGTGCGTTGCTCTTTGAGGCGCGGGCTGGCTGCTTGAGAACTCTAACTTACAGGAGCAAATATTCGTCACAGGATGAGACATGTGTTGGATGTGGCATAAATAAAGAAACAATCGACCACATAGTCATGGAATGCCAAAAGATTCAGCCGGATAGAAATGGGGGGAAGGTCACACTTCCTGAGGCGCTGGGCTTCGCGGTTGATGGAAGCATTAACTGGTCAGCAGTAGGTATTACTAAGCAGCGGCTGGAGTATTGGTGGAGGAAAAGCAGAGAAGTCGATAAAATAACATCCCAGCCAAGAGTAGCAGCTGGGCAAAATTAAAAATACATCCGAGTTGAGGGACAAAATTTAAACTCGAACTATTAAGGTAGGCTAGATGGCGCATGCCGTCACCCCGATTCAAAGGGGAGGCCTTTAATCATCATCATCATCATCATCATCATCATCATCATCATCATCGTTCAGCGACCATAGGAATGATGGGTAGAGGGTAGTACTCACGGAGGAAGGAAAGCTTCCTCCGTGGTAGTACTAGACGTTGTACTAGAGGTGTGCGCCGAGGCGATTTAGACCGGCGGCGGCGTGGGGGTCGTCCAGAGTCGGCGGCGGTGGCGTTGTCGGCGCACGCCTGTTATTTCATCGGCGGCGGCGCGCGGCCAATTTTCATCGGCAGCACGGAGAAAGGAAAGGTGATCGGCAGAGACTACTGCGCCGCGCGGTGCACAAGCCACCCCCACACAAAAACGACTTCTGTGCCGCACGGAGGTGACGTCACAAAACTGGTCACGACACACGTCGTTTTAGATTTAGCGCGTTGTTCGAATTAACCGAATCGGAACGTGACTCAGCTGCTCAGCAGGCGCTCACTTGCTGCTGCTGCTGCCGCTGCTGCTGCTGGAGTACGGCTGGTTGCTGCTTCTGCGAGCTGTCTACAGGCCTTGTTCTGCTACATATTCGCAAGCCTCCAACATCATCTTCATCTAAGCTCAACCGCTCATTTTCACTGCTATTTTATATTTACTAACGTTGTTTATATCCATCCCAATACGTATTTTTGTGATTTTTCGCGTATAGGCTGATTTAGCAGTATCTGTACGTGGCCCTTTCTTTGGTCATCCGTGTTAACGTGCTTCGTATCTGTGTGGTAGTGCATTTGCGTAATTGACAGCCGTGTCTTAGATTAGATATTCACTTTTTTGTTTCTTTTTTTTCATGGTGTAATTCTGAATTGAAAGTGTGCGCAACATGACGCGTGTGTTAGTAGCTGGCGATTCAATGGTGAAATACGTGGACCAGTATTTCCCATCGCGCCGTGGCTTGTCTGTTAGCGTTGCCGCACACAGAGAAATAAGGATTGAGCACTTGCTCTCAATGATTGCTGACAAGCTGGCCAGTTTTGATGTTGTCATTGTACATGTTGGCACGAACAACACTGTTGACAGTGTCAACATGTGCATTGACAAATATCGCCAGCTCGCTCAAGGAATCATCGAAAGCAATCCCACGTTGCATGTAGCTTTTTCTGCCGTTCTTCCTCGGGGGCAGAATCGGTACCGCGAAGAGAACAGTTGTCTGATATTTGTCATTTGAATGACCACTACAGGAATGTGAATGTCGCACTCGCACAGCTTTGCCTGAAGAGGGGCTTCACTATCCTGGATAGTCTTGTGGCCTGGATTCCTGAGCAGGGATGGTGTCCACCCCAGCCGGCTTGGCAACAAGGTGCTGGTAGACTTCCTGCACCGGGAGGCCTGTGCCTTGTCCACCCATCTAGAGAAGAGACGCATCCAACAGTCCTACAAAGAGTCCAAGGCATCTGCATGGAGTGGGTGGGCTCGGCAGGAGCACTTTGCCATCAACTTGGAAGTCGATTTTCCTGCACTTGGCATGCATGCAGTTCAATATTCTCCAGCAGTAGGTGGACCTTCCGCTGCACCAGCTCCTGTCTGGAAAACCAGCAGTGCTCTTATGCAGAGACACGACACCGACCAACTGGCCAGTACCATTCATGGTATTGGCTTTACGCTCGTTGGCGGTGTCCGCGTTCGCTGCAAGGTGTTATGGGGGTGTCTCTTGACCGCCGCCGTCAGCAGGTTGTGCTCGTAACTTGCATCAGGACCGACGAGAAGGGAAGTACCGGCGAGACGGCGCAGAACAGCAAATCAAAAGAGTTTAATACTACATAGTTAGACCAAAGTGGACATTCAAGTTTACAAACAAAGGTAAGAAGCCGAGGAGCAGAGTTCCGGCAGAGTCTTAATCCAGACTGCTTCACCCAGTTTCTCCCTGCGCGTTTTTAAAGGGTTCCAGACGCTTGTGTGACGTCAGGCGCCTCCAGACATGACCAAATATGGATCACCTTGTGTTCGCACCACCTACCACGCCACTGGTCACGCCACCGATCACGCGACTGATCGCGCCACGGATCACACCACCGGCGTTCCCACACTCAAGAGCCAGGTGCGAATGAGCCATGAGCTCACCGCGTTCTCGCGCACAGCACATGACGACCTTCGCGGCAGCAGCGTCTCAGGTTCCTCGGCGTCTGGGCATACACTTCTGCGCCTCTACCCCCGATACGTTTACAGGCTCGGGAGCGTTCGCACGCTGTCCGTGGTCTTGCATTTGGGCCCAAAGGGGTTCGCGTAAAATGAAGCGTAACAGACTGCCCCCTCGCGGATGGAGATGCCGAATGGCAGGGGACAGCATCCACTGTCAACAGGGATCAGTCGTCGAAGCTCGTAGCCTTCTTAACCTGGAGCACGGTACGTGATACCTGGCTCTAGGCCCTGTTCCGTCTCGTAAGGTAGTTCCGCCAGATTTCCCTGATGTTGTCGAGGTTCGCCGGAGGCTGGAGGCGAACCATACAATGAAATCCAGCAAATGGCGACAGTCAAAAGTGGCCAAAGACAATGGTATAAGCTCCTTTCCGGGGCGACCCCGCAGGGGCTCGTCAGTGGGGCTGGTCGCCAGGCAGCTCCGGGTGGTGAGATCATCACACCCCACCGCTTCAGGTCTTTCATCAGCAAGAAGGGAAACCACAGGTTCTTCCGGCGTTCCTGCCAAGAGTTTGGAACCGACGTGGTGTCCGAAGAGATGCCAGATGACAACGAAGTCCTCTCTCTGGGAGGGCAAGATCCTCGCCATGGTAGAGCCGGTCGACTGAACAAACAATCCACGGGAAAACACAGGATAACAAAGCCACTGAAGAAGCAAGCGCGAGACACGTATCCACTGAGCCCCGCCAGGCTTACCTTAAACACAAAAGTCTCAATCTTATTACTCGTACAAAGTACTAAACACACCCCTAATTTCGTTGCCCACCTAACGACGCACAGGTCTTCCAAAACTACGGAAGAAATAATAACATAAAAAACCTATGTCAGGAAAAAAAAACAATCGAGGCCAATTCATGACCTAGAGGCTTCGGCTTAAGCCATCGGCATTGCCATTGAGACTCCCCTTTTTGTACCGTATTTCGTATGAATACTGCTGCAAAACGAGGCTCCAGCGCAGGAGGCGACCATTTTTGGAAGAAGTGGACTGCAGCCATCTGAGAGGACAGTGGTCTGTCTCTATTATGAACCTCGAGCCTGCAAGGTAGCACGACAACTTTTGCACTGCCCATACGAGACACGCACATTCTTTCTCGGTTGCGCTATACGCTTGTTCTCGCACAGTCAGCTTACGACTGGCATAAAGAACTGGGTGTTCACCGTCCTTTCCTCGTTGGCACAACACTACTCCCATGCCTCGCTCACTAGCATCACACTGAACTATGAACTCTTTCGAATAATCAGGTGATTTCAGCACAGGTTGACTTGTTAAGGCGGCTTTTAATGCTTTGAAAGCCTCCTCTTTACGGTCATCCCAGATGACAGTTTGTGGCTCAGTTTTCCGGAGCGCGTCAGTTAAAGCGCTAGCTAATTCCGAATATCTCGGGATGTAACGTCGATAGTAACCTGCAACCCCCAGAAATGAGCGGATATCTGTCTTTGAGCGTGGTTGCGGGAAATCGCGTATGGCAGCCACCTTGAGCTCAGAAGGTCGGAGGCGTCCTTGTCCGATTATGTGACCTAGGTAGATCACCTCAGCTTGAGCGAGTTGGCATTTAGGGGCCTTCACAGTTAGTCCCGCTTCACGCAAACGCGTTAGAACCACTCGCAGATGTTGCATGTGTTCCGACCAAGCGGACGAATATATCGCCACATCGTCTAAGTAGGGTAAAGCGAATTCCCCTAGTCCTCGTAACACCTTGTCCATAAAACTTGAAAAACAGTATGGTGCATTTTTCAAACCGAAGCTTAATACCTTAGGGCGGAACGTTCCCAACGGCGATATGAACGCTGCATATCTGCTAGCCTTTTCGGTGAGAGGAACCTGCCAGTAGCCTCGAACGAGATCCAGCGTGGAAATATATCGAGCTCCACTAACCCTCTCAATGCGCTCTTCAATGTTTGGTATAGGGTAAATCTGATCTTTGGTGATCGAGTTTAGCTTGCGATAATCCACGCAAGGGCGTGGATCTTTTCCTGGCACCTCAACTAAGATTAAGGGCGAAGTGTAATCGCTCTCACAAGGCTCGATCACGCCTAATTCCAACATCTTCTTCACCTCGGAATCCATAATCTCTCGTTGGCGCGGTGACACTCGGTAAGCTTTGCTACGCACGGGTTCTGAGGATGTCAGCTCGATGTCATGAGTAACAACTGAGGTTCTTCCAGGCCTATCTACAAATAAGTCCTGCAATTCTTTCAGAAGATCCTGGAGCTCGATCTTTTGCTCCGGCTCTAACTGCGCTTTCGATATTAATTCTTTGATTAGTGGTTCACCATCCTCACCGTTTATGACTGATGCAAGCCCTGGAAGTTCAACTGGAATCTCCTCGGGGATGTTCACCATCATGCATACCACTGCTTCCCGTTCTCGGTATGGCTTGAGCAGATTGCAATGATACACTTGCTGTATCTTTCGCTTTCCGGGCAGGCGTATCACGTAGTTTGTGTCAGAAAGCTTTTCAACTACGTTGGCGAGACCTTCCCACTGCACTTCTAACTTGCTTTTCTGTGACGTTCGCAGTATCATTACTTTGTCCCCGACATCGAATCGACGGGTTCTGGCTGTGCGGTCATAGTACACCTTTGACCTATGTTGCGCTTTAGCCATGGCTTGCTCTGATAGCCGTTGAGCGCTTCTTAAACGCTCCAGTAGCTTCAAAACGTACTCGACCACTACTGGGTCTTCGGCTCGGCCTTCCCACGATTCTCGAAGCAAGCGAAGAGGAGATCGCAACGAGCGGCCATACACGAGCTCGGCTGGCGAAAACCCCGTTGCTTCATGCGGGGCAGTCCTTAACGCGAACATGGTAGCCGGCAAACATAGCTCCCAGTCCGTCTTCCTTTCGTAGCATAACGCCCTCAACACTCGCTTCAGAATGGAGTGGAGCTTCTCCACGGAGTTAGACTGAGGGTGGTAGACTGAACTATGAATTAGTTTTACTCCGCACCTTTCCAAAAACGTAGTGGTAAGAGCACTAGTAAGCACAGAGCCTTGATCCGACTGTATTTCAGCGGGAAAGCCAACTCGTGCGAATATGGAAAGGAGCGCGTTAACTATTTCCACAGAGCTAAGTTCTTTAAGTGGAACCGCTTCGGGGAACTTAGTCGCTGGGCATATCGCGGTCAGCACGTGGCGGTACCCCGACGATGTCGCCGGCAGTGGGCCTACAGTGTCCACTACGAGCCGCCGAAACGGCTCTGTGATGATAGGCACCAGCTTCATCGGCGCCCTCGACTTGTCACCCGGCTTACCTACACGCTGACACGTGTCGCATGTCCTTACAAATCGCTCTGCGTCGCGGAAACAGCCTTACCAATAATACTCCTGCAACAACCGTCCCTTCGTTTTCTTGACGCCTAAATGACCTGCCCAAGAACTTCCATGCGACAAGCGCAGTAAATCCTCTCGATAAGCTTGAGGCACGACCAGCTGATCAAACATTACACCCCTTTTGTCAACATACTTCCTGTACAGTATGCCATCCTTCTCATAATAACTTATGTCTTTCGGGGCTATCTTTTCATTTACCCTGCTCTGGATGTTTCGCAAGCTCGGGTCTTTATCTTGTTGATTCCTGAAGGCCATGCTGTCTACCATTAACAGTCGCTGTAAGCTTTCCGACGTAGGCGCTACAAGTAAATCTCTGGAATGCTCTTCCAATATTTCTGATGGTGCCCGTGGCGTAGCTTCATCCTCCACGGATGGGACCCCCTGCTGTTGTAACGCTGGCGCAAGTTCGACCTCTGCTGGGGAGTCCTGCGTCAGGCCGATTTCAGCTAAAAGGGACTCAGCAACTGCCTTCGCAGCGAGTTCCCGTGCTTTCGAACGCGTTAGCGCCATCACATTTGCCTCCCCAAACAGCTGCCCTCTCTCGCGCAGCATCTTGTCAGATCTATTCGAAAACAGGTAAGGGTATTGCGGAGGGAGTGCCGGCGACACGGCAGCTTCCGTCTCGAGCGTGCCGAAAGGACCTTTGATAGTTACCTTTGCGACGGGAAGGCATGCACTACACGACTCTACAGCCTGCTTGATCCAAGCACACTCACCCGTGAACATTTGCGGTTCAATGTACGAGCTGTGAACTACGTCCATCGTAGCCGCAGAATCGCGCAGTACGCGGCATGGCTTCCCGTTCACTTCAAGGTCACGCATGTAAGGTTCGAGAAGCTCGATATTCTCGTCCCTACCACTGATGGATAGAAACACAACTTTTGGTTTCTTACAGTGCGCCGCAATGTGACCGGGTTTATGGCAGTTATAGCAAAGGAACGGTTTCCTCGCTTCTAGCTTCCTTTGCTGTTCTAACGCAGGTTCGGTGTTCCGTTCCGACTCCGACGTATTTACGGTTCGGGCATTCCCAATTTCAGGCTCTTCCTTCGTTTTCACAGGCCCTCTCTTTGGCTTGAACCTAAAATCGGGACCCCCTTTTCGACCACTGTCACTGCCTTTGCGAGCCCGACATGTGACGAATTCCTCTGCTAGCTCTGCGGCTCTGGCTACAGAGCTAACATCTGGCCTGTCTTGCACCCAATGCCTAATGTTCTCTGGTAACCGGTTGTAGAATTGCTCTAGTAAAAAACACTCAATAACCTTTGCGTGGTCACCGTAGGCCTTCTCCTCCTTTAGCCATTCCACCATGTTTGATTTCAGTTTATAGGCAAATTCAGTATATGACTCACTCCTTCCTTTCTTCAATTCACGGAATTTCCGCCGGAATGCCTCCGCGGACAGCCTGTACTTCCTAAGCAAACTGGATTTTACTTTATCGTAATCGTCGACCTCCTCAGTGGATAAACGAGCGATTACTTCTGCTGCCTCGCCAGGTAAGAGTGTGAGCAAGCGCTGTGGCCACGACTCACGGGAGAACCCCTGCTTCTCACACGTCCGCTCAAAGTTCACCAAGAACAACCCAATGTCCTCTCCGAGTTTATAAGGGCGAATTAGTTCTGTCATTTTGAGCGATATGTGCACCCCTGCACTGTTTGCCTCGCTTCTCTGCCCTGCCGTTCGCACGCGCTCTATTTCAACCTCGAGTCGCTTTAACTCGAGCGCGTGATTGCGTTCCTCGCGCTCTCTCGAACGTTGAAACTCGAGTCGTTTTAATTCGAGCTCCCTTTCCTCACGCTCTTTCTCTTGCTGTTCTCTACGCTCCTCTGCCTGTCTTTTTGCGGCTTCCCTTTCTCGAATTATCTCAAGGCATTCCGTCAGCTCATCTTCCTCAGCCTCCAGAGCACTAATAGCCTCGATCAATTCTGGTTTCCGGAGTGCGTCAGAAACATCCGAACGCAACTCCTTTGCAAGCTGTAATAACTCCGCTTTACGCAGCAACTTCAAATTCATGGCTGTGTTCAGTGCGACCTTTCCTACTGTACACAACTATCTTGCCGCAGCCCACTTTGGCGACAACAATAGTTCGAATTACCAGTTACGCTTCCCCACTGAAAAAGCCTGGCAAAACTAAGCAGACAAAGCCCCGCACTCACCACTCAACAGCCAAAAATTCCGCGTAGACCCTCGCAAACACTGCATCTGGTTGCGGCCTGGCAGACGAGATGGCTCGTGGATCCGTGTCGCAGCTCAGCCCTCGAGTCATCGAAATGACTGCAGCATCCCACCGCTGCCACCAGTTGTTATGGGGGTGTCTCTTGACCGCCGCCGTCAGCAGGTTGTGCTCGTAACTTGCATCAGGACCGACGAGAAGGGAAGTACCGGCGAGACGGCGCAGAACAGCAAATCAAAAGAGTTTAATACTACATAGTTAGACCAAAGTGGACATTCAAGTTTACAAACAAAGGTAAGAAGCCGAGGAGCAGAGTTCCGGCAGAGTCTCAATCCAGACTGCTTCACCCAGTTTCTCCCTGCGCGTTTTTAAAGGGTTCCAGACGCTTGTGTGACGTCAGGCGCCTCCAGACATGACCAAATATGGATCACCTTGTGTTCGCACCACCTACCACGCCACTGGTCACGCCACCGATCACGCGACTGATCGCGCCACGGATCACACCACCGGCGTTCCCACACTCAAGGGTCAGGTGCGAATGAGCCATGAGCTCACCGCGTTCTCGCGCACAGCACATGACGACCTTCGCGGCAGCAGCGTCTCAGGTTCCTCGGCGTCTGGGCATACACTTCTGCGCCTCTACCCCCGATACGTTTACAGGCCCGGGAGCGTTCGCACGCTGTCCGCGGTCTTGCATTTGGGCCCAAAGGGGTTCGCGTAAAATGAAGCGTAACAAAGGGAAGCAAGGCTTGGTGGACCTGGGACAGCCTGCTTTCCCCCATTTTCCATGGCACAAGTGTACCATGCAAGGGAAACACTGGGGAGAGGCCTGTTCAGCCAATGATCCCTAGTCGAGGTGCAAGCACCACTTGTGACAGGAAAATAAGGATAGCCTCACGGGAGCATGAGAGTGCTCTTGTGCGCTCTTCTGTAGGGGAAGAGGAGGCCAGTGCTGGAAAATCCGCTGTGTCACAGGCTGTCGGCCAGTGTGGCGACAGTGAGTGGAAACTGGTGCAGTCAAAGAAGAGCCGGCGGAAGGCTACGGCACTGCACAAGCAAGAACAGAGCTCTAAACTGTGTGCAGACAGTGAAGGCAAAGTTCTTGCTGTGACAGCTGCCATGTCCATCAGGTCCACTTCACCTATGACAGCAGTTGTGAGCCAGAAACAGATTCAGTCTGCTTCTTCCGCTGTCTGGGGTAGAAAGCCTGAAGGACGAGCCAGTGTCTCGCACAAGGTCATTCGCGATAGTTTTAAAAAGGTGCATCGTGTTCCTAGCAAGCAGTTGAAAGACTGCTCAGTTAGTTCCGCGACTCACTGTGAATCTGTCACGAATGACGCTGTGAATGAGATTTCTGTCTGCAAAAGCCATCTACCAGCACTGACTCGGGATTGCATGCGAATTGAGCGCGATCCTGGCACAGAGGCTGGTGACCCTATGGAACCTGGGTGCACTGAAGCTGTGCAGTACAAGTATTGTGAGGCTGCTTTGACATCCTGAAGCAAGCCTGCCAGCCCTGGTGCCCAGGCTATTTTTGTAAACACTGCTGCCAACACAACTGTCCTCAATAACCCAGTAAATACACTATATGGTGGGGGTAGCAAAGTTTATTTAAATGCAACATTTGATAACTTTCCTTCTTTAAGGAAAAGCTTTGATGAGTGGTGCAGGGAGGGCAGGCATGTAGTCATGATAAATAAAAGTAATAAAAGTCCATTCACATCAGAAAATAAGGACTTCGAGTATATTAGGATTAAATATAGCTGCATTCACGGTCGCACAATAAAGCCCAGGGGGATAAGAAAGCGACCAAAGCAAGCTTACAATGATACTGGCTGTGAAATGACAGTATCGGTAAGCCTATGTAAATCGCCTACTCTGCACTACAAGATAACTAAACTACAAGCTAAGCATAACCATTCCACAGAATATTATGATTTGTATCCTCAGAAGAGGCCCCTGAATTATGGAGAAAAAGAAGAATTCTTTGACTTAGCTGAATGTAATATTGGCGCAAAGAATTTTAAAAACTTGGTCGAGCAAAAAACTGGTAAGAAGTTAACTACAAAGGACATTAATAATTACAAGCACCGATTTTCTATTTCTATCCGCAATGAGCAGGCTCATGGTGAAATGATTTTAGGGAAGGTAGAGACCTTGCTAGAAAATAATCCAAACTGGGTTATTCACTATGAAATGAATCAAAATAATAACCTGCAATGCATACTTCTTCAAACAACGCACATGCGTGAGATTTTGGAAAAGCATCCAGAGATTCTATTTATTGATGGAATGTATAAAGTGAATATTGAGGGTTATATTCTTTACTCTATATTAGTTCAAGATGGTCATGGGAAACCTGTGTGTTATGCCTTCTTACGAAATGAGACGACTGAAATTGTTCAGCCTATGTTCACAAAGTTTGTAGATTTCAACCCATTTGTTGTCTGCTTGCAAAGTAGTGATGATTGATAAAGATCTCAACGAACTGCGCACTTTAGCCAGTATTCTTCCTAATTCTAACATACTTTTGTGTACGGGGAATGTGTTGCATTGTTTCCAGCAAAAGGTTAATGAAAAAGCTAGACAGTAACGTGATCAGTTGCTTCCTCTCTTAAAAAGCTTAGTTTATTCCCCCACTGAGCGAGACTACTTCGATAAGCTTGCTGACCTCCAAGCTATGACTTGCACAGATTTCATTTCTTACAATATGCATAACTGGCACTTGTGTAAGAAAATGTGGGTACATGCATATCGGCATGCCCTTCCTACATTTGGTAATAATACTAATAATCGCATTGAGTGGCACAATCAAAAGATTAAAAATTATCTCTCTTCAAGCATGCATTTGGTTCAAGCAATAGAAGCATTGGTAGGTTACATTGATAATGATTCTTTATCTCTACAGTTCTCTAAGCTTGAAGGAATGAAGCTGAACCTAAACATAAATGATTTCAATGACCCATTTCAGCTAGAATTGTCCCGTAATTGCACTTCTGAGGCTACAAGTAAAGTACTAGAGCAGTATGAGAAGTTTAAAAATGTAAGTTATCAAGTCACTTCCATTCCTAATTCTTATGTTGTAGTTTCACCAAGATCACAGTACAGTGTTTCATTGTGCTTGACTTCTTGCACATGTGCTTTTTATAACCATCACACTCTGCCTTGTGCACATATTTTAGCAGTGCGTGACTTTACTAAGCAAGATCTTTCCGACAAGGCTTGCATACCAGACAGGTGGTGCAGATCATTTCTTGAGTGACAGCTGCCCAACCACTAGTACCACACCACTGGTAACAAGCAGCATTCAGTCACCACTTTGTGTGAAGCTTGACACTGCACAAGAGAAGTATACTTATGCTTATAGGAGTCTTTGCGAAATGTCAAAAACTGTGGCTAACGTATTATCTAATTGTGGTGAGAAGGAGTTAATGGAAAAACCTTCGTCCTGCGAGGCTTTCTTCACAAATTTGACCATATTTCCTCGTAACCAAACTTCAGCAGCCATAAAGGCTGCACCAGCTCAGTTAGCACAAACTACTGCCACAAGTTATCTTGGGCATTCTAACAGTACAAAACTTGTAGTACCTTTGGTTAAAGCAAGAAGTGGGCGGCCAAAAAAAGTGAGAGCTGTCAAGCGTAAATTTTTCCCAAATCAAGTAAAAAAGGTAGGCCTTGCTTCGGTTAAAGTAGACATGCTAAATGTCTACAAACGGTATTCTCTTTCAGATGCAGATTTAAATGTTCTGGTACAGGGCACCTCAATATCAAATAGTGTAATCAATGTCACACAGTATTTATTTCAGAAAAAATATCCTACTTGTGTCGGCTTTCAAACTGTCTTACTGGGCCGATCTTTACAATTCACTCAAATCAAAGGCCCTTTCGTTCAAATCTTGCATGTTCAGAACCCCAATCATTGGCTTACAGTAACAAATGTTGGTGCGGACAAAAACACAGTCTTCATATATGATTCAATTGATCAAGATACCCCTCCTGAGGCTGTTAGGCAAATCTGTCATATTCTAAAATTACAATCGCCAACATTAACCATTCAAACTATCAAGGCACAAAACCAGTGCAACACACTTGACTGTGGCTTGTTTGCAATTGCTAACGTGTATTATATACCGTCAGGCAGAAAACCAGAAACTTTGAATCTTAACCAAGTTATGCTATGCAAACATTTGCTGCAATGCATACAGAATGGTATGATCGAAGACTTTCCCCTCATAAACTCCATGGCTGCTCGTGTACAGCCAAGAGATAGTATTTACAAGTTACATTGTGTCTGCCGGCAACCACAATATAGTGGGATAGTATTGGACATTACTTGTGCAGGTTGTTCAAGAGGATTTCACGGAGCTTGTCTCGGCTCTTTAGCAGCTAACTTGGACAAAAAAGTATTCGTGTGTTCTCAATCATGTTTTCTGGTTGCCAAAGAAAAGATACATTCTCCTAAATAATAATAGCATTTCATTTTGGTGTAGACATGTGGCGAAATTTCTAACCATTCTTCATGTCTCCTCCTCTAATTTTTGCTTTTCTTTAAAGGACCACTCACCGGGTTTGGTGATTTTGAGCTGACAAGTTCAATGCGTACGTACATCGGGAGTTTATGGTCACGTCTGCCAAACATTGCAACTCTATGCGACGCGGAAATGGGTCAAACTTCAAGACGAACGCTTCTCCCCCTTTCTCTACGGGTCGCGCCCCCAGAAAAGGAAAGTGTGATGTGCACGTATGAATCGCCCTACATACACAGCAGTGCAGTGTATGTAGGGCGATGTAGGGCAGTGTATGTAGGGCGAGTGTATGTACATACACAGCAGTGCAGCGC